GTGCTTTGACGGCACCGGCAACACCTTCACCGGTTCCAACTCCGACACAAATGTGGTCAAGATTCTGAGCAAACTCGATCGCAATGATCCTGATCAGTACCATTACTATCAGAGTGAGTTGGTACCGGCACGCTCTCAACTGTTCCTCCGCTGACAGATGTACTCGCCTAGCTGGCATCGGCACATACGACATCAATGATGAGTCTGTTAACAAGGGTGTATTTGGTGAATTCAAATCGTCCATCTCGCAGACCATCGACCAAGGAATTGGAACGACTTTCGATGCTCATGTCATGGCTGGCTACCGATTCCTGATGCGTTACTACGATTCTGTACGTTTAAGTACCTACCTACCTGCCATGGCGAAGTGCTTGAAGACTAACAAAAGTGCGATGAAGGGCGACAAGATCTACATGTTTGGATTCAGCCGTGGCGCTTTCACTGCCAAGTTCCTTGCTCGCATGGTTCATACAGTTGGGCTACTTTGCAAGGGAAACGAGGAGATGGTCCCCTTCGCATACCGTCTGTACCAGCGCTACTTGGCTGGGGAGGTCGAAGACTTCATCGTGTCTCACCCCAAGAAGTCCAAGAAGGAGAAGAAGCACAAGAAGAACAAGAAAGCTCCCGCCAATGGAGACGTACCGACACCGCCGCCTGAGCTAGAAGACGAAGAGCCGCTGCATGAGGGTCATCGCGAGGATGAGGACCCGGCAACCCATGGGGCCAAGTACGCAGTTGCCAGAGACGAGATTGCCGCCTTCAGCGACACATTCTGCCGCAAGGAGAAGGCGATGCACTGTGGGAAGATGGAGGAGTCCAACATCAAGGTCTTCTTCCTCGGCATCTGGGACTGCGTCAACTCCGTCGCTGTCTTGGAGCGAACTGCACCGGTACCCGTGCCTGTAGTTGGCACTGCTCACCATGTTCGCCATGCTGTAGCAGTCGATGAGCGACGCGTCAAGTTCAAGGCAGCTCTCCTAGCCCAAGACATGAAGGAGTCAGACCACAACCATGAAGACATCAAGGAGGTCTGGTTCCCGGGCTGCCACGGTGACGTTGGCGGTGGGTGGCCTGCGTCTGCCGAGAGCAAGCTCGACAACGGCATCGAGATGACCTTCTGGGAGCGTGTCAAGAACTTTTGGACGACGCGGAAGGAAAAGGCAGCCAGCAAGGCTTTGGGTTGCGACCGGCTACAATTGAGCGATGTTCCGCTTGCTTGGATGATCCGCGAGGTGAAGCTTGTCGGCCAAAAGGAGGAAGATGCGGCACTGAAATGGCGCGAGAACCTCGAAGTCTTCGAGAAGCGATTCGCGAAGAAGAAGGACAAGGCCACGATGGGAGTCATCCACGATTCTCTCGCGTATGGTCGTGGTACAAGCTTCTTCCGGGTTCTTTTGTGGAAGCTCATGGGTAAGCCCAAGTCTCGTCTATTACCTCTTTACAATAACACTGACTCGATCCAACAGAATGGCTTCCATTCATCACTCGGTGGGAACTTGAGGACAGTGGCTGGGAAAATGTTCGTTTCCCGCTCAACAAAGGCAGCACCAGAGATATTCCCAAAGACGCTGTTCTCCACGAGTCTGTTCTCTGGCGATTGAAGAACGACTCAAAGTACTGCCCGCAGAACAACCACGGTGGTCGGCAGCTCCCCTGCTTGAAACACAAACACAACATTGCGGAATGTCATCCTGTGGAAGAGCACATACATGATGAGAATTGTGACCATCAGATCTACAAGATTACAAGATCTGCATCTGATCTTGCGACTCGGACTTGAGGAGGAGACGGTGGATACTAGAGCATGCGGTCGCGCAACCTTGCAAATGAGTCTGAGAAGTGAAAGATGGGGTGACGGGTAGTTTGGAAGAGGACTGTGTAAATTGATCTCAGTGCGAAGCAAATGGGTAGTTGTTGATGATTGATGGGACCGCTCGCTACCAGAGTGTTCTCAAACTTGTCATACATGTACCCAAGGGACTAACACGCACTTACGGGCCAGCCCCAATGATCGATCATCTCGAGAGCATGTCTAATCTGTCAGACTTGTAGTTACTAGCTTTACGTATCAGAGTCTCTGTCCAATGGCTTGGTCCGGTGATCGGTCTCGCTTTCCTCTTATCTCAAGAATTCCTCCTAGGCATCGTATGCAACGAAAAGCATCTTGGAGGTTGGGGTTTACCCCGATGCTCGTACGACCAATTGCACAACACGGATGACAGCGGCGGAGCTGCGCCAATGTGGTTTGCTGACAATCGGCACCATGTCTTCCTTGGCCGACAGCCAGAATGTCACTCTGCGTGGAAATAAAGACCATTACCTCCGTCCCCAGTCAGGGATTCGGACCCGACTATGTGGAGAGGTTGGGGCCGCTTTCGGCACTAAAAGACGCTATTCTCCAAAGCCGGGATCTCCAAGTCTTGATAAGGAGGGTTGGATTCGGCTGGCGTCTTATCGATGTCGGGTTATCATCCGGATGTTCTTGATAGTCAGAAGGTTCGTGACACACAGAAATGATGTGGTTGAATCCTTTAGAAGAGTTTGTGTGATGTTGCCCACGTATAATACGCTTACTCAGGTCGCGATGTTGACAGCAGAAGGGCCAGTGACGAGGTTACTGACATCTACCATCAACAGACACCAGCTTGCAGCTGTGCTTTCCATAGAATGCGATCCTTGGCTATTATCCTGGCTTCTTTCCGCCTAGCCAGCGCCAACTTCGTCAACCAGGGCCAGGTGCTGAGCCTCAATGGCGTCTCTTACTACGCCGGTGGAGTCCCCGTGGGCCAAATAGGAACTACAAACGGCTCGAGTCTCTCGCTCGCAGCTGCTCAGATTCCCGGCCAAGACCTGTTCCCCCTTACCATCATCGACACCTCGAGCAGTGTCCCTTCGGGGGACGAGCTTCTGAACCTAACGACTACCTACGATAGCTCGGATGACGTCTTTCAATCTGCCTTTTTACATGCGATCTATCTCCGTCCAAGCACAACTAATGCTACGGCTGGGTACAACGGCACTACGTCTCTTGACTCCCAACTATCACGTCAAGGCACCTCTTTGGTTCTATCTCCCAAGGAGATCCATGGCCTTACCAGCAGCGTCGCGACTGGCGTAACTGTCTTGAGTCTCCCTCGAGGACCCTACTTCGTCTCGGTTCACACTGGAAACGTGTACAAAGCCTATCGGCTGTACGACGATGATCACCTCGCTTTTGTACAAGGCATGATTAGTGATGAAGAGGGCGCTTTCACTACTCTCCCTGCTGTTACTGAGAATGTCATGGCAAAGAGCATCGCGGTCCCTTCACGGCTCTATTACACTGAGACCGAGGAGCAACCCCTCGCCGGCCTCCGCTTCGGAGTCAAGGATATTTTCCACGTCAAGGGAGTAGGCACGAGTGGTGGAAATCGTGCCTACTTCTACCTGTACGGACGACAAAACAATACTGCACCCGCAGTACAACGACTCATCGACCTCGGTGCTGTCCTCGTTGGCAAAATGGGCACTGTCCAATTTGCCAACGGTGATCGTCCCACTGCTGACTGGGTTGATCTCCATGCCCCCTTCAACCCCAGAGGTGACGGGTATCAGGACCCCAGCGGCTCGTCCACCGGCCCTGGAGCTGGAGTAGGTGCATACGACTGGCTTGATCTTGCTGTCGGCAGCGATACTGGTGGTTCCATGCGCGGACCGGCAGGATCTCAAGGTCTGTTCGGGAACCGGCCTTCCACGGGGGCAATCTCCCTTGAGCATGTCATCCCCTTGAGTCCCGTTTCAGACACCGCCGGAATGTTCGCCCGCAGTGGCAGCCTCTGGGCTAAGGTCACCCAGGCTTGGTACCCTGACTTTGCTTCCAAGTACACTTCCTACCCGACGACACTCTACCGATCAACGGCTAGAGGAGGCGCTTGGTCCGGAGGAAACGTCAGCGAGGAAGCCACCGATGTCATCACGAGCTTCGTACAAAAGCTGGAAGGCTTCCTTCAAACCAACTCAACTCCCGCAAACTACACGCAGCTCTGGAGCGAAACTCACGGAGAAGCACCTGCAGATGTCAACGAGATGCTGTACCTGACCTACGGCGTCTACGTCTCTCATGATCAGTGGCAAGGACTTGGCAAGCCATTCTTTGAGGATTACGCAGTCAAGTTTGATGGGCGCCAGCCATACATCAACCCAGGACCCCTCGCGAGATGGCAATGGGGTCAGGTTCATTCAACGGAAGAAGCCTATGCACAAGGTCTTCATAACATTTCCATCTTCCGCTCTTGGTACGAGACCGAAGGCTACGGACGACATGATCCCGAGTCATGCTCCGAGGGGCTCTATGTCTACCCTTGGTCTGTGGGCCAGCCCGCATACCGCGATGTGTACATCCAGCCCCGAACTACACCGCCGCTGGGTTTCGATGACTCTTCCGTCCCGGTCATGGCCGGTGCACCGGAAGTAGTAGTTCCAATCGGAGAAGTCCCCTACAACAGCACCAAGTCGTTGCACACGGAACATCTCCCAGTGACTATGGCTTTGAGAATGGCAAGGGGGTGCGATCATCATCTTGCGAATCTGGTGAGTGATCTTGAGAAGGAAGGTATTCTTCGCCCAGTGGCTGCGGGTCGCCGGCTGTACCCTTAGGATTCCGTCTCGTGCTAGTCTCCGACCAACCGGCCTGCGTCGGGATCGGCCGCCGGGATCTGCATGTAGCTGTAGAGCGACCTAGGTCGCTTTACCCCGCAAAGTAGATGGTTGTGACGTCGATATACGCACTTAGACGTTCAAGACCCCTCAAAGGATGTAATCAGATTACTGATCTAGCTCAAGCCTAGGGTAATTCATGATATTCATGTGCTGACGAGAAATAAAGACCTGTCAATCCCTTCATTCAATGCTTCGCTAAAGTGTGTTGACATCGAACGTTTGAACCCGTGCTCAGCTTTCTTCTGGACTTCTAAACACTACACCGTTGATACACCTTAGTCTTTGATTATCGTGTCTACATCATGCCTTTCTACCAGATCTACCATACCTATTCTCTCACCCAGAAACAGCGGGAATCCATTGCCCTGTCGATCACCAATCTTCACTGCAGCACCTTCAGCACCCCGGCCTTTTTCGTCCATGTGAACTTTATCAAGCAAGAGCCAAAGTCCGATGACGGAACTTACTTCATGGCTGGAAAGTCGCACACCAGCAACTCGAACCGGATCGTTGCGCTAGTTCGAACCTCGGCTTCTCGCACGAAAGATGACTTTGACGCACTGGCAGCCAAGATCGAAGACGCCTGGAACGGCGCTGTCAAAGAGCCGGGTAAAGAGGCCGACTTTGATGAGGCAAAACGGCTTTTGATGGTCGTGTTTACGCCGATGTTAGCAATTAGGGAGGGCGGGTGTTAATGCTCTATTATACAGAGTAATAAGCAAATAAGCCGCAAGTCTATAGTTAAGTCCTTATTAATACTAATACTAAACCTTACCCCCTATAATTCTATAACCCGTAATTAAGTTATATACGTACTAGCGGGGCTAAGGCTGCGCATACGTAAAGTAGGCCCCGTATACCTAATATACCCTAATATAATACCCCTTTTTTTTAAAACCGGGCCCCGGGCCTACTCTTTTACCTTCTATATCTAAATAGGACCTCCCTAAGCTCCTTCCTCTTATTATTATAAAACTATTGCTCTATTTTAATAACTTCCTTTATACCCTTACGTAACCTTTAATAACTACCCAGTCCGTTACTTTATTTTTTAAAAGCCTAAATTAATTATAAATATTTTCTACTTAACGCTATTTATCCTTCTTTTTTTTTTTTTTTTTCCTCTAACCTATTAATTATTATATATCTAGCCCTTATTTATTACCCTTTCCCTATATATTAATACTAATTACTAATATAATAATAGCTTTTAAAAAAAAAAATCTCTATTCTTATATACTACCCAATAAGCCTTCTTTACTTATTATTTATATATATTATACGCAATTAACTTATTTATTATTAACTTTATTATAAATTTATTAATATAACCCTTTAGTCTTTATAAAGCATAACTAAACTAATAAAGCTAGTAATACTCTTATTAAAAAGCTTAAAAATAAGTAGCTCCTAGTCCGCGTAGTTAGTATATATAAACTACTTATTTTTATATTTTTATTATTAATTAACTAAGCTCTTAACTCTTTATTTAATAATCTATATAATATTCTTTATTTTATATATATACTACTTAATTAAAGCTTATAATACTAAGCTTTATTATAACTAGTTTAATATATTATAAACTTACTATTTATTAATTACTCCCCTACTATTATTTACTTATTAACTATATACGTTTTTAAATACTAATTATTAATATTTTTATATATTTATTTTAATTACTCTTATTAAAGCTTAATAAGTCCCCTAGTTTATGTACTATTCCCTTATTATTCTCTTTTATTTTTAGCTAATTTATTTTATATTTTAAATCTTTAATTTTATTATCCCGGCTTATTATATTTTAGTTATTATTATTATAGCCTTACGTACTACTTTTAATAATATTATATTAATAAATTGCTATGTATTCTTCCTTAAGCTTTTTATAAATAGTATTAACTCTCTATTTTATTTATAAAAACGTACTTATTAATTTACTTATAGCCCTGCCTCGTATATACTAAACTTTATTAAAAATATTACTTTCTTATTTATAATTCTTATAGCCCCTATTAATACTATACTTATACTTGTTATTTAGCTTATTCTTATTATATTATTTATTTATAACTTAGGTATTATTATTAATAACATAACGCTACTCTTAAGCTGCCCTAATATTCTTATTAATACTCGCCGCTTTTATATTTAGATAATTAACTTATTATTTATTATATATTATTAACGTTTTTAAATATATTACTTATATTTTTAAAACCTTTATAAATATCTTTTATATAAGCCGCTCTTTTATACCTTATATAGCCCCTTCTTATTACTTCTTATTACTCTTATACTTAGCTTATTAATAATATTATTATTATTAATAATAATTTTATTTAGTTTACTTACGAGGGTACTATTCCCGTACCTCTTATTTATATTAAGGGTACTAACCCCGCGTAGCCTCTTAATAATAATAATATACCCCTATATACTTTAATAACGTACTTATTAAGTAGTATTTATATTTCTTAATTTAATTAATTTTTACTTATATATTACTCTATTACTATATTTTTACTTAATCTAAATTTTTTTACGTATTTATTATTAATATAGCTAGGGAGTACTTATTAATATACCCTTAGTACCGCTTTTATATTTATATATATAATTAAGGCTTAGCCCTTAATATTATTCTTTTTTTATTTTTTTATAATTTTTATAAATATATCGTCCTTAATATAATATTATAGTTTTTAAATATCTTTTTATTATTATATCCTCGCTATTAAATTAAATATTATTTTTTCTTAAACCTTTTATAATTAATAATTTCTTTAACCTCGTATAATAATTCGCTTTTATTTTACTAATTAAGGACTACCTTAATACCTCTTTTTTTATTATATATAGGGCTCTAATAAAAATAGGGAATATATTATAAACCTTATAATAATTAAGTATCTTTAATTAATATATAAGCCTATAATTACTTATAACTTTATAAATATAAAAAGTCCTAACTATTTATTTACTAATTTATAACTCGGCCGCTTTTATTAAATATACTTACTTAATAATAATACTTAGCTCTTTATTATAAACTTTTATTTATCCTCTTTTATTATATTACGTTAACTAATATAGCTACGCTTTCTCTTAATAATATTATTTTACCTTACTAATATTATAAACGCTTTACCCTTATTTTAATTAAGAGTTTATTATCCTTATTATCCTTATAAATAATAAGTAGCCTAGTAGTAATAAATCGTACTTAAAAATACTTTATTTAGTAATATATTAATAAAAAGTAATATATATTATTATATATAAACTACGAAGTATAGTTATTATACTTAATCTATTTAGTTTTTATATAAAAGTAGTATAAGTAGTATTCTATATATTAGTTTTATTATTTTATTTAGCTATCCGTTTATAAATAAAAAGCTATACTTAGTTATTTCTTAATTATTAATAAATAATAAAAGTATTTTTAAAACTTATTTATAAAAAAGAGCTATTTAAAATAACCTTTAATTAGGCTATAAATAAAAAAATTTATCTAAATAATAAATCCACTAACTTATTAATTATAAACCTTATAATTATTATAATATAAATATTATATTTTATATACTAATTTATTATTACTAAGATTGTATTATATACCTTCTTATTTATTAAAAATATTAACCTTAATAAGCCTATAATAAAGTTTAAAAATATTTCGTTATATAAGCGTATTAATATTAGTAATAAAATAAGTAAGCTATAAAATAAATAATAGCGCGCTTTATTTTTTAATATAGTATAATTATTTATATATATTTTTATATTTTACCTTATCCTTAGCTAAAAATAGCCTTATTATATTAGCTTTAATATCCTAAATATACTTAAATAGCCTATTATTATTATATTATAATAGTCGCTAATAATCTCTTTCCTTATCCCCTCCCCTTATAATACGTATATTATAGCCCCTTTTTTAAATAATCCGTTATTTTTTTAAACCTAACGGCTTAAGCTCTTCCCTTATTATTACTTCTTAATATATACGGGTTTACCCCTCTTTTTAATCTATTCGAGGTTTATTATAAAAGCATCTTTTTATTATAAACCTAATAACTAGCCCGTTATAAATAAGTATAGCCTATTTATTATTTTAATTAAGCGCCTAATACCCTTTTATAAAATATATAGTTTATAAACTATACTTTTAGTAATAAGTTTAAGTAGTTATAGAGCTACTTTATTATATTCTTATTATAAATCCTTATTACGTAGTATTATTATTTCCCCTATAAGCCTAGGTTAAGTACTTACTTTTTTAATTTCTAATTACTTTTAATATTATAATACGCTTTAAGTTATAAATAACTACTATTATTAATAATAAGCCTTATCCCTTAGTTACGTTATTAAAATATTCTTATATTTTATTTACTAACTTTTAGCTATGTTATTATTTTTTCCTCCTTAATAATCCGGTCTCTTAAATAGTCTATTCGCTAAGTTCTATATACCTAATTTAAATTTAATTTTAATATTAAACGTAATTAAATTATTAAATTAATATAATTACTATAAATTAAGCCGCTTTTATATCTAAGAATTATAAATTAAAATAATCTATTTAGACTACTATAATTACCTAGAATAAGCTAATATATTAATATTAATACTATAAGCTATTAATAATAATAAATAGCTTATTATTACTTATTTTATATTATATTTTTACCCTTATTAATTTCTTTAAATAAAAGTTATTAAGTACTATGGCCTTAAATAACTAATATAATACGGCCCCTATTATAAATTTTAATATATTTATATATAATACTATAAGTAATAATAAGTTAAAATATTATAATATAAGTATTTATATAAACGTATCTTATAACTACTTAAATACTTATATTATAGTACTATTAAGCTATATATTACCTTTCTTTCTACCCTTTAAGTTATTTATAAATAATAAAATTATTTTTAAATAGTTCTTAATAAACTACTAATAAAACCTTATAAAACTTAAAAATGTTTAAATATTTTTAATATTACTAAATAATAGCTACTTTATTATTATTATTATACGCTCTTCTTTTATACTTACCCCTTTATAAAAATCACGTAGCTTAAGAATATTATTTCCGTTTTATAAAATTTATACTTCTTTTTATTTAAATATAACCCTATTACTATAATCTCTTAAGTACCTAGTACATATACTACTTATACTCCTTAATATTAATATTATAAACTAAAATATTATCTAAATATATAATATAAATAATATTAATAAAACCTACTAAAGCTTTATAAATATATACCTAAAAGTCGCTAAGGCGTTAACTAACCTAAATAATATAATTATATACTTAAAGTACTTATATCGTATATAAAAAGCCGTTTTTACTTATTACCCTCTTTAATATATACTTAATAATATATATTCTTAATATCTAACTTTATAAAGATCTTAATAATTAATAATCTATTTAGAATTTCCTTAATTAATAATAATAATATCTTATCTTTATATATTACTTTATTAAGTACTCTATAATTAATATAAAATCGTAGCTCTCTCCCTTTTTTTAATATAAATAAAATCAGGGCCTACTAAGCTTATTAATTACTAAATCTATCCCCTTATTTTTACTTTTATAAAATAGTCCCTAAGGACCTCTAGCTCCCTCTTTAATAATAAATAAATAAATCCTT